GGGATGAGTGGTATTTTGTGAATTTTCTTGTTACATAAACATACGTAGGATGCCTATGCATGTATGTCTATACTGGGCAGTAATGTAAGATGTGGTTTTTTTATTGGAAAGGTAAAGACACTGCTGGGAGTCACTTCAAGAGCTAACATGCTAGGCTCTGAAAGGACAGACCTCAAAGGACAGCCCACATGTGCATAGGTTGGGTAAGCCACTGCCCTCTGGTGGCTGGGGAAAGGTGGCAACAGGCCAGAGGCGCCAACAGGACCAGAGCCTAGGAGACATCTTTAATTTGTGATTTCTGTCACTGCTAGGGCTCCTTGGCCATTGTTAGGTTTTCAAGAACTATCTTCCATCACAGTAGCATCACAGTCAGTTTTGGAGGGTAGCCCTTGACGCCAAATCTGGAAGTAACTGAGAACATGAGTCCTAGGCTAGCCCACAACAAGAGTTCTGAAGTGGGCGGGGCTCAAGGACCTGGCCCTTTAAACTCCGAGCAGAGGACAAGGGGGCACCTTACAGCGTGTACATTATACTTCGATGACGCTAACCGAAAGTAAAAGCCAAACCCCGACCTGACGCCCTCGGGGGCTTCTGAGCCATGGCGACCCCTGTGTTGCAGAGTGGAACTGCCCCACAGGTTTGCTTGGCAGGTAGCCAGGCCTTTCTTCTCCGGTGCTGGGGAGGGAAGCGCTTCAACCTTTAGGGCCGTTGCTGGCCACAAACTGTGCTGCCCAGAGACAAGTAAATAATTTAAGACATAGACAGAGGGGGGGCTTTAAAATATTTGTGGAGAAGTGAAATAAAAAAATAGACTTCTCTACAAACTTTTTGAAGTCCCCTCATATCTGCAAGGCAAAAGTGAGCATCCATAGGCACAGATATACATGTTTGTGTGCGCTGCACATGTATGTTCACACACATAGTATGACACACGGGAGGGACAGTCACAGGTACCTTGTTACATACAGCCATATTCCTCACAGGGTTGGTTTACTGGGTTTGAAGGGTTCGTTTCAAGAGACAATTGAGTCAAGATATAAAGTTTAGGTTCTACATCAAGTTTATGTTCTACAGCCTAGTAGGACAAGTCCAGTCAAGTCCAGTCTGGGGTCTTTGAATCTTGTGACTATCCATCTACGTCACAAATATTGATCTCTGCTCATCTGGAGCAAAGGAGAAAGAGAAACCAAAGATGGTCAGACTGCCTACAACCCAATACAATGCTTTTGTAAGAAGACAGTAAACTGTACAAATATGCTTGATACAATTAATGTGTGGATTGTTATAGGAGCTGTAAGAGCCCCCAATAAAGTGATCTTTTAATAAAAAAAAGAAAAGAAAAAAAGTAAACTAGGTACGAAAGAAACGAAAGCATTTGTCCATGAAAAGACGTACAGGAAAATGTTCATAGAAGCTGTATTGATAATAGTCCCACAATGGGGGGTGGGGAGCCCTTATATTTACTAGCAGGAGAATGGATCAACACACTGTGACAGAGTCACATGATGAAATATGTGCTGCTGGACAATAAGAAAGAACAAACTCTTGCTCCCTCGGGGCAGGGATGGTGAGACTTAGTCTCACATACTTTGCCAACCGGAAAGGCGAGTCCCTGGAAAAGGGTGTCATGCTTGGTAGAGCGAAGGGGCAGTGCAGCAGAGGAAGACCCTCCACAAGATAGGCAGCCATGGAGGCGGCCACTACGGACTCAATCATGAGAAGCATTGTGAGTCAGAACCTAATGGACGGCACCTCACCACACTGCTACTGAGGACGGGAAGGATGAACCTCGGAAATGTGGCCGTAACTAGGCGTGACGGCGCTCCACACAAACGTTCTTCACAGCCACCCTGTGAACACAGAACAAAATGTTGTACGGACCAACTAACGTCGTAAGGACCCCCCTGCCAGAGGCCCAAGACGATAGGCACGGAAGTGGAGACACAGTCCAGGGGTGGAAAAGAGATTCGGGGGGTGGGTGGGAATTATTAAATATGTTAATGGCTATGTGTTTATTGACTGCACTATGGATGTTGTCCAATAGGCTACGTGTGTGATGGAAATCAATAGGGTTATGATGGTTACAGAGAGCCTGTGAGCCCAGCTGCCTATGCTTGGTTCAATATGCCAAAAGAAGAGTTGGGGATTAGCTAGAAGGATGTAGAGTTGGGGGGTTGGGTAGAAACCTTAGTCCCATCCAGAACTGCTGGGGGAACAGGAGATTTACATTTGAAAAAAGGCTGCAGAGAGAAAAAGAAAGTTTGACTTTTTGAATTTGGGCAGTTTGGCATTAGATGTGTTGATGCAGAGAAAGTCTGTGCCCACCAGCAGAACCCACCTTCTAGGACTGAAAGTTGAAGGGAGTCAGTGAGCAGGCAGCCTGCTATGCCTGTTATGGGAACCACCTGGGCCCGCTTATTGAGTGGAAGAGGAGGGAAATGGCAATGAAGAGAGAAGCTGTGTAGCTATGTTCCATAGGCACCCATTGGACTGGTGGTCCACATAGGCTAGACAGCGGGGAGAGGAAAGGCTCACTGGTCTGAAGTAAGGCAGTTGTGTGGACTCCTGGGCTATGGGCATTGACAGGGGCTGGGACTGAGAGCGAGAAGGGGTCAGATGATCTGAAGTGCAGGAAAGTGTGTGTGGCTGCCCACGTTCCCAGGTGGTACCCATTAGACCTGAACTATGTGGCTACAGCTGAGGCGACCAGAACTTGACCAAATGGAAAGATGTTTGATACAGTGTGCTGGTATAAATTGCTGGAATTTGATGGCTTGCTCTAGACAGGATTTTGCTTACAGGAGGGGGTACCCCCCCCCTCAAAGGAATTCTTTTCCCAGAGCTATGTAATTTCTCCCCCCCATAAAACAACCTATCACCTTCAAAGTACTCTCCATTACACTTAATAACATTTGTCCAATCTGTGATGCCATTCGTGGAAACATTTTTCACACTCATCTGTTTGGATGGCTGACAGCACCTCCCTCGCTTTTTCTCCACCTCTTCTACATCATCATATCGCTGTCCTTTCATCTCCCTCTTCATTCACGGAAACAAAAAGAAGTCTCATGGAGAGAGGTCAGGTGAGTTAGGTGTGTGGGGCAAGAGAGGCATGCTGTTTTTGCTACAACTTGGTGCACTGAGATGGCTGCGTGAGCAGGTGCATTGTCGTGGTGGCAAAACCAGTCTCCCATCTGCACAGATCAGGCCTTGCTTGTCACACACTGTTGACTCAATCTTTTCAGAGCCTCTAATTAGAAAGCGTGCTTAACTGTCTGACCTGGTGGAACAGACACCAAATGCACTAGAAGTCGACATTTTCATCTGTTCGGGAAGTCGATGGACTTCCAGACGAGGTTTGTCATCAATCGACATTTCACCTTTTTTGAAATGAGAAACCCACTCAGACACCTGAGTCTTTCCCACAGTGCTGTCCTGGTAAGCTGTGTTCAGCATCACGACCATTTATGTGGCATTTTTCCCGAGCAGGAAACAAAATTGCACAGCCAACATTCACAAAAGGTCTTCTCCGAGTACTGGGCTGTCAGGGACAGGCAATTAAGAAATTGGATATCTAAAGTGGTATGAAGTACCTGGCTTATAATTTTTTATGGCTATGTGCACAGTGAAATGATTAAAAAGGTGGGAACTTAACCCTAATGTATGAAAATAACCATGGCTAACGAGCCAGAGGATAGCCTGAAATGGAGTGGATTATTTAATATGCCTCTTTTTAATAAGAAAATAAATCATTTTATTGAGGACTCTTACAGCGCTTACAAGAATCCATACATCAATTGTATCAAACTCATTTGTACCTAGGTTGCCACCATCATTTCTCTTTTAACTTTTTTGCCATCATCATTTTCAAAACATTTTCTTTCTGCTTGAGCCCTTGGTATGAGCTCCTCATTTTTTCCCTCCCCCACCTCCCAGACCCTTGATAAATTATAAATTATTATTATTTTCATATCTTACACCACCTACTGTCTCCCTTCATCCATGATTCTGTTGTTCATTCCCCTGGGGGGTGGGTTTATATGTTGATCATTGTGGACATTTCCTCATTTCTCCTCTTTCCCCCACCTTCCCCCTATCCTCATGGTATGGCTACTCCCATTACTGTTCCTGAGGGGTTTATC